TCTCCACTCGCTTGCCGCGTTTGGATGTAACCCTTTCTCCACTCGCGTGCCGCGTTTGGACGTATCCCCTTCTCTACTTGCGTGCCGCGTTTGGACGTAACCCCTTTCTCCACTTGCATGCCGCGCATGGACGTACCCTTTCTCCACTCGCGTGTCGCATTTGGATGTAACCCTTTCTCTACTCGCGTGCCGCATTTGGACGTATCCCCTTCTCCACTCGTGTGCCGCGTTTGGACGTATCCCCTTCTCTACTCGCGTGTCGCGTTTGGACGTAACCCCTTTCTCCACTCGCGTGCCGCGTTTGGACGTACCCATTCTCCACTCGCATGCCGCGTTTGGACGTAACCCTTTCTCCACTCGCGTGCCGCGTTTGGACGTATCCTTTCTCCACTAGCGTGCCGCGTTTGGACGTAACCCTTTCTCCACTCGCGTGTCGCGTTTGGACGTATCCCCCTTCTCCACTCGCGTGCCGCGTTTGGATGTATTCCCTTCTCCACTCGCGTGCCGCGTTTGGATGTATCCCCTTTCTCCACTCGCGTGTCGCGTTTGGACGTATCCTTTCTCCACTCGCGTGCTGCGTTTGGACGTATTCCTTTCTCCACTCGCGTGCCGCGTTTGGACGTATCCTTTCTCCACTCGCGTGCCGCGTTTGGACGTAACCCATTTCTCCACTCGCGTGTCGCGTTTGGACGTATTCCTTTCTCCACTCGCGTGCCGCATTTGGACGTATCCCTTCTCCACTCACGTGCCACGTTTGGACGTAGCCCTTTCTCCACTCGTGTGCCGTGTTTGGACGTACCCGCACTGTTATGTGCATCGCGCTTTCTTGTACAGTCCTTTCCTCTCATGCGTGTGCCACGCTGAGAGATCCTCACTTTCCTCTTATGCGTATGCCACGTCGAGAGATGCTTCCTTTCCTCTCTTGCATGTGCTACGCTGAGAGATATTGTGTTTGGGACTCTGGGTGTCCTCGGTAGTCGCTTTTAGTCTTCTCCACATGAAACGCAGCGAAAATTGCTTAATTTTCTTACACCCTTTCTGCATGTAATGTAGTTAGATTCGTATTCACTTGCTTAAAACTATTGCATGATATGCTTCGTTACAGCTTTCTTCGTATGATCATAAGTTGTATTCGGCTTTATGCATTGTCTTTGCATCTTGCCCCTACCTACGGGTGCATATCTTTATATGTATCTTGTATGTTTGTCTAAGTCTTCGGCCTCCTCAAAAATGGGTCGTCTCTGGGTTTTGACATTCACTCACGTCATTGTTATGACTTTCGAGTTCTGTCAAAAAGGGGCAACTATAGACACCCCATTTTTGACCGTCCTCAAGACTTGGACGTCATCGTTGGAACACTCGATGATCATCCATGCTCATGTTCGTCTTGAGTTCCCGGAGGCCTCGGTCGCGCGCCGTGCCTCAGGATCGCTTAACTTGCATGTTTTGTGCTTGGTTGCGGACCAAACACTTGTGTTTTGCTTCTGAGGGAAGAGGGTGGCTTGTTTGCCATCCCCTCAACCCACCGGCCATGGCCTGAGGCCACCGGCCCTGTTTTCTTGCCATTGGCCAAGTGTGTTGGCCGATCGGCACTATGTTTGGTTGGCCAGCCATTGTGTTGGTCGATCGGCCATTTTTGCTGGCTGGTTCATTTGCTTTATGCAGATATTTTGTGCCAGCTGGCACAGCTGGCATCCACAATTGACCCCCTCCATACACGTGTATGGAGGGATTTACACCCTTTGCTTAGCTTCCCTTGGAAGCTTGGAATTGAACTTCCATAAAGAGGGAGTTCCTCCTCCCTCCTCAGAGGTTCAGAAAAATGGCCTAGAGAGGATAGATATAGTTTTGTATCTATATTTCTTTGTTTAGTCTTGTTTTGTGACCTAAAGTGAGTTTTTGTCTTACTTTTGCACTTAAACACCTAGCATTACACCATCCTTGGGTTACTGAGGTATTAGAGGGTTGTTATTAGGGTTCTTGAGATGTTTTTAATCAGAGAAACCTGCTGGAGCTTTGTTCTTGAAGAGGTTCTACAAGGGTGAGTTCCTTGCTTTAGATACCCCTTTCTTGCTTAAGCTTTTAGCCTATCTTGCTTATTGTTTTAAGCTTAGTTTATAACTAATAAAAGTTCTATCTTTTAGTGCTTAAGACCTTTGTTTAAGGTCATTTTTGCATTTGGGGTTGTTTCCCCCCTCTTAGGCCTTGTTTGACCTTGTTCTTGTGCTTTATTTTTAAGCTTTGAGACCACCTTGTTTAGGCCTTCTCACCACTGAAATCCAGAGGGAGGGATTTCAGTGGTGGGGATGGTGTTTTAAGGTCTTAAATAGGAGAGGGTCATCCTCTCTCCTTATTGTCGTGAATGCTTGCATAAATGGCTTACGTTGGTGGCTTGCATGCTTAGCTTGTTTTAGCCTTATTTTAGTGTGTATTAGGCTTTGTTTTGCCCTAATACATCTCTATTTCAAGTTGATTTAGACATACCATGTAATAACCCGACCCTCGTACATGTTCTTTGTTATATTTTCGGATCCTATTTTGTGATTTTGGATGCTTACTGTGAAATTCTATGAGAAATTAGGGATAAGAAAGTGAACTCCATGTTTAAAGCATATGTTCATATGTTTAAGGATGTCTATCTGTTCAACAAGAAAAGTATCTGTTACATTAGAAGGTTTGAATCAGAAATTGGAGGCCTTAAGGGCTTAATTATCTGAAAATGATTTCATATATGTGATCAGCATAATTTTTATGTAATATTAGGTATTTCTGTGAAATTTCAATTTGGAATGCTTAAACGATTGAATTTCGTCCTTATTCACCTATATTTATATATGTATGCCTCCTCCTTAGACAATTGTTTTAGCCCTAGTGATCATCTCAAATATTGTTGGAAAGAAGAAACTAGAGAGGAAGGGGAAATCCTCAAGAAAAGAAGATTAGAATCTTGTGAGGGATTGTAAAATTCAAGATTCAAGGTATGTATGTTGCTGGAATCCCTCTCTTGTTGAGTTCTCTCCCAAATTATCTCTTTTTGAATGATTGAGTAAATTAGAGTGTGTAGAGATGAAAGTAAATTCCTCAATTGATTGATGTTTAATTGAGTTGCTTATGTTTGTTTGTGGAGAAACTAGTTTTATGTCTTATTTACTCATGAAAGTCATGAAGAGTATAGATATATATATATATAGTTATGATGTTGTATGATTTTGGATGCAAAAAGGAAATTGGATTGTGGGTGAGAATTTAAGAACTCTTATGGACTTGTGTATGTTGAACTAAAGTATATTAGTTTGATGTATGTAATTGTCATTGTATTTATATGAATTTGGGTCATGTTTTAGCAATTAGGAAAGTTATTTTGAGCCTTGTTCATGTTTTCCAAAAGGTGGGATTTTGCAAAAATTTTCGGACAATTTTGGGCAGAATCACCGCACGTGCGGGGGTCATGGCCGCACGTGCGGGAGGTGCTGCCGCACGTGCGGGAGTCATGGCCGCACGTGCGGGAAATGGTGAAAAACAGGGGCTTGGCCACTGTAAAAAAGGCACGTGCGGGACATTTTGCCGCACGTGCGGGAGAGCTTGCCGCATGTGCGGGGCTCACAGCCGCACGTGCGGCTCATGCTGAAA